AAATTGACTTTATCTCTTTTAACAGGATTATGAAAGGACAGAGAGTAACACTCATGGTCCATTTGGTCTCAAACCAAGGTCAGGTAAGCTGTCGTTCTCCAACATAGGGTGGTAGAACAGAAGTTTATTTCCCAGGCTGCAGTAGATAGTAAGGATGGCAGATGTCACAGTACAGGAATTCACTCGGTGTGTTCATCACTGCATAGTACTGGGAAGGGCACAGACAGCTGCTTCAGCAGATTAATAACTGGAAGATCCTCAAGTTGCACAGTGATTATTTTAATTATTTTTTTTTTTTTTCCTGCTACTGCTTTATTTTCTGCAGATTTACTCCCTGTCAAAGAACAGAGAAACAGCATACAGTTGTTCTGGAGGTCTGGTGGCTGAGGCAGGTTTCAAAAGTAGAACATTTTTATAATTTCTCCTGTGAAAGGATGCCTTGAGCAGAGCTCTGGCAGTAGTTTTATGTGCTTTGTTGTACCCTGACCCTTCCAAGGCTCAGCCATACCCTCATAAGCAAGTTGTGTTGTCCAAAGCAGACTTTCAGTCCTCTGAAATCTAGGTAGAAATACTGCAATTTTACCCCCAGTCACAGTTTGTACAGTTTGTATTTTTGATTCTTAAATCTCTTACCAAAATCCAAACTATTAAAAACAACATAGAAAGTTCTCCAGGTGTAAGTTTTGATTATTTTTTTTCTCAAAACATGGCATAAACTACGTAAGGATACAGACGTGCTACAACAGAAGAGTTTGTATTTGTCAGTATCCTATAAAATAATAGTAATTTGAAGGCTTTCTGACCACCAAGGGTAGTAAAGTGGATGTTATTATTTAACAGACCTTCTTTTTAAAGAAAAAACTCTGAACTTTTAGATGAGACATTTCATATTTTTCAGTTAGTTCTTTAACAAGCAATCACTGTGTCTCTGCATATGGACACCTAACACATTCACATATGTGTGTGTGTATATTTTAAGTCTTTAATTTTAAATTATATCAGGGAGTTCTGTTCTGGTTTTAGACTCCTTAATGACTTTATAATTCATTAAAAGTAAAACACAGTGAAAATACTTTCAAAGCTAGATTGAGCTATGCTTGAAGAAGTGCAAATGGAGTTGTATATCTCAAACTCATACTTCAATATTGAACTCAATTCTGTCTCCATATTTTCTAATTATCCATTTACACTTAAGATGATCTCTGCATTTAATTAGATGTTTCATATTATCTTTCATATCATATTGCTTAAATATATTCTTTAAAGTTCTGCAGTTTTTATCCTTGGTCATAGATTTTTTTTTTT